AGAGCCATCCAATCCAGCCCCCTTTAGCCATACAGGAAGACACAGTCAAGCACCCCAACAGATGGTCATCCAGCGATGCTTAAAAACCTTCGAAATAGGAGACTCCACCACTCTCCGAGACAACATCCACTGTCAAACAGCTCTTACTGTCAGGAGGTTCTTCCTAATGTTGAGGTGGAATCTCTTTTCCTTTCCTAACCATGATTTAATGCAGGAGTGGACACATATGTCCCCCAGGACTCTTTCCGAAAACCTCAGCAGCTCCAGTTCCTCCAGACCACCCTTTTCCTGGCCTGAAAAATAAAGCGGAGGTTGTGGTAGCAGTGATGGTGGTAATGATACTATTCCTGGAAGGCCACAGATGTGGCAGTTCACATCTCCCCTTCATTGTTCAACATTCAAAAATAGAGTCATATCTCAGTTAACAAAGTCATTGGCATGGATCCTGTCTGCACAGGCATGAGGCATCCTAAAGTATCCTGGCCTCAGAGATGCCCCAACTCTTCCCCATTACAAAAGCCCTCCTTTCCGATGGGGGGCCCGCTGTGCTACCACTGTTGGTAATTTTACTCAGAGGCAGGGTGACCAGATACCTTCTTTTTCCAGGACATTTCCTACATTTCAACCTTCTGTCCAGGAGGAATTCCAAAATGTCCTCCATTTTGAGCATGACCAAGAAGCCCATTGGGCAACACCATATTTGCTGTTCCCTTTTACGAAATGCATCAACTTGGCAGCCTGTCCTTGCTGCAAATAGAGGAATAGGATGGATCCTTCTAAAGTCCTCTTTGGTCCTAGGAGTAGCAGCAGACAAGGATTGACTGCAAAGCTTAGGGTGCATTTGTATCTTGGAGGGGGAAAGGACAGCATGCAAATGTTTGAAGGGTTTTCCCCCTTAATTTCAGCACAGTGTACAAATGAAAGGAACAATTGAAATGCAGAGTCAGTCAAGGGTTTCTTGCTAGTAAAGTAGAATATTAAGACTTTGTCTTGCTCAGAGTTCTGTACTGCAAGCCAACAAAGCATTTTAATGAAGAGAAGTTCATCAGAAAAATTTGGTTGAGTACATAATAAAATGCAGGATATGTGATATAGCGGTAAATAAACCCCATGAAATGAATTTATATTTGCATTAGTGTTTCTAGTTTTTATTTTGTAATGTTGTATGTTTTTCTTGAATGTCTTACATTTTGTGGTGCCTTTTCCTCCTTTGCAGTTACGATAGCTGGTGATCCTTCCCTGAGGTCAGAACAAGGCGGCCAGTGATGGGCACATGGTTGGGCACCTCATTTTGACCTCGGAGTGGACATCTGGTGGAAGTGCCGGACACATGTCAAATAGCCGCTCAGTTTCAGAATGGAGGGTTCCAGATCTTCCAGGAAGATCTGGAGCAACTGGGGACTTTGAAATCTGTGGTTCTAGGGGTATACCATAGTACTGGTGCTGAATGGATCAGCTATTGCCCAGTCTGTCTGCACCAGAACCAGAGTTTAAGCTGTGTATCATTCAGTTTCTCTACCGAGAGGACAGGGGAGGCTGTTTTATTTGGCCCATGCAGACTGGGCCAAAGACTCTCCTTTTTGCAAAGGCTTTTTATACCTGCCTAGACTATTTTCCTCCTTGAGCCTCTTATCTAGGGAATCATTCAGATGTCTGTATGTTTTTTTAGCACAACAATGAGAATCATCTCATTCATGCATTCGGGTTTGTCATACACATTATGGAACCGCCATCGATGCACATCTCTGCAAGTTTGGTTGCTCATGTATGCAAGCATTCAAATAAAGATGGAGTCAACTATGTGAATGCATTTGGAACACATTCAAGGCATGCATGGATTTATTCTGGGTTTATTCAAGTCTATTCGAATTGGTTATTCACACTACTGACAATGTGAATTAATAAAAACTCGGGGGGGATGTGATATCGATTATTCTGGATTAAGTGGGGGTTTTGGTAAAAAAACAACAACCACACCCTTAATTGGGGTACATTCAGGATGTGTAGGAACAACAGAGATTCAACTCTGATTCATACTGGATTATTTTCGCCATTTGAATAACCCTTAGCTGGACAGAATTAGCAACACTGTCCCTTCCTAATGCTTGCAAGAATTCCCCTCCTTTTAAAAAATGGGTCACTGTACATCTAGATGGAAAATTTAGCTGATCGTAGAGAGAAATCATGCTCCCACTCCTCAGTTCCACTAGATTAGATCAAACTGCTTTGCGTGCTCCCAGGGAGACCTTTGGATCCTGGCCACTGTTTATATTAAATTGCACATTATCTCATCATTCCTTCAGGATCTGAAACACGGGAATCTATGCTGAGCTTTGCTTAAATGCATGTAAACATAATCAGTCAAAAACAGATGGTTTATCAGCCAAAAATAAAATGAAATCTTTGCTCTGTTGAGAGCTCTAATTTTATCTGATTTGTATTCTGGTACACTTGTAGCCCACGGGGTTTGGGGGGGATCATTATTTTCCTCCCCATCTGTAAATCCGAGAGATTTTAACCCCCTCGTTTTTTGAACAATTAGGAAATGTGTGCATCCTTTTGTGTTTTACACACCCTCAAGGTCTTACAAATGTACTTTTTGGATCAGGGTGTAATGGTCATGTTAGGTTCACAGTTGTTG